CTTGCAAACATATGGAGTGGAGATCCCCATGGACACAGGGGAAACATTTTAAATGTAGATTATATACTTTAATATGAGCCTGGCTCCGGCACAGTAATCCTTCATGCCATGTAGCAGACCTCAAGGGAAGCTGTGATCGGTTCGGTGGGATCACCCAGTCATCTCTGTACACAGAGTCCACACGGCTGCGCCCTGCACTGCCTGACGGTTACAACAGGATGGAGCTGAGCCAAATTTTGTTTCTCAGCCTCTGCCCTAGATTCTTCTGGGTGCCTCCCTGGTGGGCAGGCCCATGGAAGAGGGGATAAAGGCAAAGTCCAAGTTCACAGCTTGCTGTTGTGTGCCACAATGTCCTGGGATGTTCATATACCCTAGCAAGACTTGTTTGATCTGGTTTTAAAGTTTCTCTCCAGCAAAATCAGTATGATCCTCGAATTCTCTCTCTGCAACAGCAGAAGTTGCTCTCTGGATGGAAATGCCTCATTCCTTTAAAAAAAATTTTATTTTTATTTTTAAGTTCCAGGGTACATGTGCAGGATGTGCAGGTTTGTTACACAGGTAAATGTGTACCATGGTGGTTTGCTGCACCTGTCAACCCGTCACCTAGGTATTAAGCCTGCATTAACTAATTTTCCTAATGCTCTCCCTCCCCCAGTACCACCCCTCAGAGGCCCCAGTGTGTATTGTTCCCCTCCCTGTGTCCGCATGTTCTCATTGTTCAGCTCTCTCTTATAAGTGAGAACATTCCGTGTTAGGTTTTCTGTTCCTGCATTAGTTTGCTGAGGGTAACCGCTTCCAGCTCCATCCATGTCCCTGCCAAGGAAATGATGTTGTTGCTTCCTCTGACTGTATAGTATTCCACAGAGTATATGTACCATATTTTCTTCATCCAGACTATCACTGATGGGCATTTGGGTTGATTCCTTGTCTTTGCTGTTGTAAATAGCACTGCAAATAAACACACATGTGCATGTTTCTTTGTAATAGAATGATTTATATTTTGGGGGATATATACAGAGTAATGGGATTGCTGGGTCAAACGGTATTTCTGGTTCTAGATCTCTGAGGAATTGCCACACTGTCTTCCACGATGGTTGAACTAATTTACATTCCCATTAACAGTGTAAAAGCATTCCTATCCGTCAGAGGTCTAATATCCAGAATCTACAAGGAACTTAAACAAATTTACAAGAAAAAAACAGCCCCATTAAAAAGTGGGCAAAGGACATGAACAGACACTTTCTAAAAGAAGACATTCATGCGGCCAACAAACAGGTGAAAAAAAGCTCAACATCACCAATCACTAGAGAAATGCAAATCAGAACTACAGTGAGATACCATCTCATGCAGTCAAAATGGCAATTATTAAAAACTCATTCCTTATTTTTGCCTGCACTGCCTCTGCCAGGAATGCTCCACCCAAATGGGGTATTCAGATAGTGAGTCCTGTCTCTCCTCCGAGTATCAGCTCTCAGATCTCCTTAGAGAGGCCACCTGGATCTCTCTAGCTAAAGTCAACTCTGTACAGTCCCGCTCTCGTACACCAGGTTTGTCTTTCCAGGACTTGTCAATGTTGGAATGCTGCAGTGTATATGATTTGTTTATGGAGCTCTTGCTCCTGCTTCACCTGTTCCCACTAGAATGTAAGCCCCTTGAAAGCAGGGACCTCTTCACTGTTGAATGCTGCTATATCTTCAGGTGCTTCAACATGTTTTGTTCCTGCCCAATAATCACATTCCAATTTCTGAACCGCCATGGTAAGGGCTGAATTAAGCTCATCCCATCCCAACCCAAATTCATATCTTGAAGTCCTAACCTCCAGTACCTCATCATATAGCTGTATCTGGAGATAAGGTCTTTAAAGAGGTAATTCAACTAAAATGAGGTCATTAGGATGGGCCCTAATCCCATATGACAGTGTCCTTAAAAGCAGAGGAAATTTGGATATAGACCATTACAGAGGGAGGACCGTTTGATGACACAGAAAGAAGATGGTCATCTACAAGCCAAGAGAAAGGCCTGAGATAGGTCCTCCTCTCGCAGTCCTCAGGAGGAACCCACTCTGCTAACACCTTGACCTTGGACTTCTAGCATCCAAGAACTGTGAGAAAATCCATTTCTGTGGTTTGAGTCACCCAGTCTGTGGGACTTTGTTACAGCAGCTCTAGCAAACTCATACACATCATCACAAAGTGAACCAGGGACTTGCAAGAAAATACTCAATGAAATGTCCATTACTTTATCCATGAAGGCAATCGCAAGAAATAGACGCCGCTCTCAATTTGCATAATTTGAGATGAGCTTAATAAAAGGACTATCAGGAAAGATGTGGGCAGGGCATGGGGCAACATAGGGAAGGTGGGTGCAGCACTGTGGGGCAAGCAACAGGGGGGAACCAGTACCACCCTGTGCTGCCAGGTAGAGGGAAGGGGACAGATAGCAGGAAGCCGAAGAGAGAACATTTTGTGGAGAGAGTTGCCTGGATAAAAGCTGTGGTCTTTGGAGATCAGCCAGCTTGCAATGAGGCAGGAGGGAAGGGGCAGGGAAATAAATACCGACACCTGACTCTATTCTCTTCCGACGCCAGGCAAGGCTCACAAATGGCAGAACTCACTGACGTGGTCCACATGGTCTAGACTTCTACAGCAGGAGCAGGGTAAAAAGGGGCAGAGAGTGGGTCTGGAGGGCTACGTGGAAGATTTCAGCCTAACACCTTCATTCCCCAACTATTGTCAAATCATGTCTCTTCCACTTGCTAACTCCTACAGAGCAATGAAGCAAATGCGCTTTCATCTTTACCTCCTGCAGGCTAGGAATGCCATTTCTAAACAATGTTCTCAGTATTGAATTCCACTGCAGATGGCCAAATGAGTCTATTTATTGAGTTTTACCAAAGCTTTATTGATAGCATGTTGGAGCAGGATAGCACAATCTCAGTCCTGCCTCACCCTGGCTCAAGAGATCTCCTTCTCTTATTATTCTCAGGCAAGAATAATCTACAAGTTTGATATAAATAAGATGCATCAGAAATGCTTCATTTATCAATACCCAGGAAGATTCAGAAATAGAAAGAGTGGGTGGCTAACGTTTGCTGAACACCTATTAAGTGTCAGACAGTTAACTAGCTTAATCCTTGCAAGAATTATGAAGTCAGCCCAGGCTTGGTGGTGTGGGCCTGTAGCCCCAGCTATTTGTGAAGCTGAGGTGAAAGGATTGCTTGAGTCTAGGAGTTCGAGACCACCCTAAGCAACATAGCAAGACCCCTGCCTCAAAAAAAAAAAAAAAAGAATTACGAAGTGCTATTATTAGGCCGGCTTCACAGATGAGTACTCAGGCATAGCCAGCAAGTTAGCAGAGCTGGGATTGGAGCTCCAGGGCCCCTCACTCCAGCGTTTTCTTTCTTCCCCATCCCAGATGTCTTTCAAGGAAGTGAAATGACTCAAAAAAGAGCTAACAAGTATGGTTAGAAGCTCAGAGTAATAATAATGGCAGATACATGTTGAGATTTACCATCTGCCTACTCTGATTTACAGTTATTCCATTAAAGCCTCAAAACCACCCTAAAGAGCTTTATGCTATTTTATCTCCATTTTTAAGATGAGGACCTGGAGTCTTAGAGGGGTTCAGGGACTTGTCCCAGCTAAGACCTAGGTTCTCAATTCAAACCCCAGATAACCTGGCTTTAGAGCCCGAGCTCTTCAAAAGAATTGGAACTACAAAGAATGGAATTAAGAAGAAAAGGAATATAGGACATGGGTAGAGAAGGACAAACCCATGTGAGCAGAAAACCCAACCAGCAAAGGGAAAGCTTGCCGCTTTGAACTGAGTCAGCAAAGAGAGGTGAGAATATGGCAAGAACGGCTCAGGAAACCTTCCAGAAAGAACCTGCTCTCTTGGTGTTTGAAAAGAATAGAGGAGACTAACTTGGGTTTCTGAGTCCCAGCAATACTGACATTTTGGTTAATTTTTTTTTTTTTTTTTTTTGAGATAAAGTCTTGCCCTGGCACCCAGGCTGCAGTACAATGGCGTGATCTCAGTTCACTGCAACCTCCACCTCTCAGGTTCAAGTGATTCTCCTGCCTCAGCCTCCTGAATAGTTGGGATTACAGGTGTGCCCTGCCACTCAGGCTGGAGTGCAATGGTGTGATCTCAGCTCACTGCAACCTCCGCTTCTCAGGTTCAAGTGATTCTCCTGCCTCAGCCTCCTGAGTAGCTGGGATTATAGGGGAGTGCCACAACACCTGGCTAATTTTTGTATTTTTAGTAAAGATGGGGTTTCACCATATTGGCCAGGATGGTCTCGAACTCGTGACCTTAAGTGATCCAGCCACCTTGGCCTCCCAAAGTACTGGGATTACAGGCTAGGTTAATTTTTATTGGGATAATAAAATAATTATTGGGGGCATAGTTTTTATTGGATAATTTTTATGGAAGGATAATTTTTATTGGGCAGTGCGGGGGGTGGCCTTGTGCACTGCAGGGTGTTCAGGCGCATCCCTGGCCTCTCCTTTCTTAGGTCAGGAGCATCTCCCCTGCCCATTTGTGACAATCAAAGATGTCTCTAGGCTTTTTTGATTGAGAACCTCCGCTGTAGCTCACAACGAGAGTGAAGGGTAGGTGGGAACTCAAGGTAGAAGCTCTTCATCTTGCAGAGCCAGAAGTAAAACCTCCAGATGGAATAGCCAACCTCCAGAAAAAAGGCAGCACCCAGGACCAGGAACGCCATCAAGGGGATTTCGTGGTTTGATGGAAGGGCCATGATTTCAGCACTGGATGGCCAAGACTCAAATCTAAATGTATCACTTATTGCTCTGCAGTGGTGTGGGGAAGGGGGATGAGGGTGGCAAATTGCTTCACCTCGCAGAGTTCCGGTTTCCCAGGCTCTCAAAAGGACATAAAAATACCTACCACACAGGGTTGTTGTGGGCATCGGCTGATGCATCAGTGTTCTCTCATATGATTGGTTGTTGTTTCTCCTCCTCCCTTGTTTCTAAGACCAGCAAAGCCAAGTTCTGTAGCGGGGCCACGTGACGGCTCTCCATCTTCCTGCCTACATCTCACTCATATGAAGTCCTTTCTCGCCCTCTAAACAGCTGGTCGAGGATGAGTCACCACCACAGGAGAGCCATATCCTAGAGAATGAAAGGGGGGTACATTGCAGGCAGAAAAAAACCATCTTGTAGAAGGGCACAGAGATACAGCAGAGGATGGAATATGTGGGAACAGTAAGTTGTCTGGAGCACTAACGCATACAGAATGTCTTAATCCCAAAAACTGAGGCTGAAAGATACATAGTAACTGGATTTTGAAAGTTCTCAGTGCTGTCTGGAGAACTTCTACTCATTTTCAAAGGTCCATCCCAAAGAAGGAAAGATAGAGCTAGTTATAAGTGGATGCAAAGCATTCTGAGTGGGGTAATCCCAGGAGCTGGGGCCAACAGGGTGTTTGGGGACCAGCTTTTGAAAGGCCAAGCCCTTGTTGTGTTTCTACAGACATTCCTCACCCATTGTCATCCATCGCAAATGTCATCTTCTGTGTGATAGGTATTCCAGCTCCCCCAGGCAACCTACTTAATCTCTTCTGCTCACTTTTCTGTGTTCTGTCACTCACTCTTCTAATGTTACCTGTATTGTACTGTAAAAGGTTGTTCCCATGACTGGCTCCTCTACCAGGCAGTAAACCCCATGGTGGTAGTGGGGGCACAGAGCTGTCATCTGTGTATTCTGCTCACCTAGCACAGAGCCTAGATGACATATTGTCAGTGACCTACCCAATATCCATCCTTCCCATCTTACTTTCTAATAGAATCCCAGTGGGGCAACATGCTTAATTAATTAAAGATGTTCACGTCCCAGACTCCCTTGAAGCTCAGATGCCATACGACCCAGTTTGGGCCAATGAGATGCAAGTTGAACTCTACAGGGTGAGCTTTAGTAAAGCTGTTGTTTTCCTGATGAAAGGTCAGTTCCAGGGGGCTCTTTACCTTTGCCCCTCATTTCCAACCACCTTTATCCCATCTTCCCACCTAGAACCTAAGACTCCACACATACAGGTGGAGCTGTCCTCTTGAGACCAGGAGGGCACAAGGCACACTGAGGATCGCTGGGCGGATGCCTGGAGGGATCCTGAGTCCTCAGAACCTCCCTGAGCAGCTGCAGCAGCCCGGGACTTCCCTCGTCTGGATGGTTGTTAGATGTAAAATATAATCCCCAGTTTGATCAATCCACTGGATGGGCTTTTGCTACGTGTAAATGCAAAAGTGTAATGTAAAATGCAAAAGTGTAATGTAAAAATGTAAATGGGCTAAATGCTACACACTGGCACATAACCAACGCTTAGGAAATTTTGATGATCCAGCTGAATGGCCAGCTCTTCCTCTGTGCAGCTTAGGCCACTCAGCCTCCAGTGACCCAATAAAGAGCCATAAGGGGTGTACGACTTTGATGGACACCTTCTTGGGTTAAAAAAATTCTCAGGTAGTCTCGTAATCCTCTCTTTTTTTTTTTTTAAACCTGAGACAGTGTCTTGCTCTTGTTGCCCAGGCTGGAATGCAATGGCACAGTCTTGGCTCACTGCAACCTCCACCTCTGGGTTCAAGTGATTCTCCTGCCTCAGCCTCCCAAGTAGCTGAGACTACAGGTGTGTGCCACCAAGCAAGCCTAATTTTTGTATAATTTTGTAGAGATGGGGTTTCACCATGTTGGCCGGGCTGATCTTGAACTCCTGACCTCAAGTGATCCGCCCAGCTCAGCCTCCCAAAGTGCTGGGATTACAGGCTTGAGCCACCGCCCCCAGCATCTCTCTATCCTTAATGTAGCAAGGACTCCAGGGCTTTCTCCTTCTGGGCACCTTTCTTTCTTAGAAGAGGCTAATTTTGGAGACCATTTCTAACTAGTTGATATACATTTTGGGGAAATCTGTGAAACTGTGGCGTGGGTAGAAGCATTGACTTTGGAATCGGTTCGACCATTTGCCTTTTCTTTCTTTCAACAAATACGTATGGATGGGCTGGAGATGTGTGAGCATAAACAGTCCTTCTTAAGGAACTTACATTCTAGTGGAAGAGCAGAGCTACACTGCTGAGTGACTGATTACAAAGGGAGGCAAGTAACACATAGAGCATGCCAGAGTGTACAAAAGGACTCTTCTGGTGTTCAGAGAAGACTTCCTGGAGGAGGTGGCCCTTAGACTGACATCAGCAAGTGACCTGGATTCAAATCTCCATCTGTCACTTACTACTGTAGTTGGTATACTCTGGCCAATCATTTATCCTCTCTAGGCTTCTGTTTCCACAATTGAAACATAGAATTTCTAACATTTCCCTCTTATATTTGTGCAGTTTAAATGAAACAATGTTCCTGGTGTGGCCCACAAAGAACCCTTTTTAGACGGTCAGTCACTCTTACGTTCTTTGTTTCAGACAAAGCTTCGGGTTTCTCTGGCCTGGGGTTGGTGTCCTCAACACCAGTGCTCAGGGTGGGCTAGACACTGTTGACCTCTGCCAGTTCAAACCTGTGTAGACAGGCTCGGGAAAACATGCTGGGGAGGATGAGAACAAAGGCTTCAGGCAACAGTAAAAGTTAATTAAGTCCCCAGGGCCGACCCCAGGAAAGTCTCCATCTCCTCTGCCTTGGCCCCTTCTTTGGGGTGCCTCAATTACCCCAAGGCTTTACTGGTGTCAACCTAGTCAAAGGGATGGCTAGGGTAGGGAGACAGTGGGAGTCATCCCCCGGGATATCCTGGGGAGAACCAAAGACGCTGGGCTCTGAGGGGGCTGCACAGAGCAAAATGAGCTCCTTGAACTTAGGCTGTCTCTTCCCCAGTCCTCCCACCAGGAGGGCTGTTGGACAGGCCCACACTCAACAGAGAAACTCAGGGAAATCCACTTCCCTTCTTTGGCCCTCAATTTCCTCATCTGTAAAATAGGTAATTGGACTAAGTTAGTGGTTCTTAAATTTTGCTGCACATTAGAATCATCTGGGGGAAATTAACTCCCCCAAATACCCAGCTGCTGCCCCCCAAACCACCGAAATCAGAACCTCTGGGGTGGAACCCGGCGTCAACACTCTAACCCCCTAGGTGGTCCCATGTGCAGCCAGTGTTGAGAACCAGCCGGCTCTGAACACCTTTCCAGCAGTGACAATAGATGCTGCTTCCTAGCTGTGTGAACTCAGAGAAATGACCGTGAAACACCATCCGTCCTCTTCCTCATCAGCAAAGAAAGAGTAAGAACAATACATCCCTCATGGAGGTATCATGGGGATTGAAAGGATGGATTTCTCTAGAGTGCTGATAGCAGGGACTGCGCACCATGGAAGGACTCCAGCAGGGGAGTCGGGGGTTGCTCTTGCTGCCCTTGTTATCGCTCTTATTGTGATCATGGAGAAGGAGGAGAAAGAAGAAGAGATGGGGGGCGCGGAGAAGGAAGAAGAAACTTCTCATTAGACCCTGAACTCTGTCCGTCTCCCCACCACGTCTGCCTTAGTCACAGCAACAGAAGTAGGGCAAATTCAACTCTCACATACTGAAGAACCCAGGGGGCAGGTATGCACTGGCATTTGGGAGTGCTCCATTGGTGGAAAAGTGGGTGGGTAAACCCTCTCTCCTTAGTGGGGCCTTAGTGTTGCACTGTCCACACTGCCCAGCTTCTTTGGGGAGCTGCTAGAAGGCATCTTAGACATTACCTAGTTCTAGCTTCTTCTCATTTAAGCAATGAAGACTGTGAGTCACACAGAGGTTAAGTAATTCACTCAAGGACACACAGCCTTGCACCAAGCCAGGTCTCAAGTCTAGGTTTTTAAACAACAACAACAAAAATTTCAGTCTCAAAGTCATTTAAAAAAAAAAAAAACTAATAACACTCTGCAGCCGCCTCTCAGAGGACAAAATCCATCAGCATTAATCAGTCTTTTTTACTTTGGCAGGGATGCCTTATCTCTTCCTTCTAAGGAGACACAGTGCCTGCAGCCGAAAGAGCAATTGTGATAATTAATAATAATATTTTGCACTTGGAAATTTCCCCTGGCAGCAGCTGCTCTAAAAGCATCTCCTCATTCAGCCACACATATCAGCCAATCGATCAGTCCACAGGAGCTCCTGAAGCCTCTGCTACCGGCTCCACAGCCCTGCGCAGGGTCCTGGGAGGGACCCAGTTGCATGGAAACTGTTTCCAGCACTAGAAGAGCTTGTGGGGGGCGGGACGCAGTGCAAAAGTGAACCGGACTAGAGGCTGTCACTAAGAAAGGCACCCGGCCTCTGCAACATCATTTTCCTCAGCACCGTAATAAAAGTCAGATATTATAGGAGCTTCCGTTTGATTTACTGTCCTGTTTCCTTCATCTGGAACCATGCCTGAAGTTCATTGGCCAAGGGTAACTAGCATCCACTCCACAAGGAGGGTTAAATGAGTTAAAACCTGTACAGCACAAGGCCATGCATATAGTAAGCACCCCGTAAATGCCAGCCTTTGTTGTTGTTAACTATATGCCTTGATGTCTGCATTAGCAAGGATCCCACTCAGAAACAGATGGAGTGCCCAAAAGGTTTACCAGGAAGACAGCATAATAAAGAGACTATTTTTGAGGTGTGGGCAGGGTTAAGGGAAGCCATAAAGGATAGTGAATAACTTTCTGGCAATCGCAGAAAAGTGTTACCATTGAAGGACAAGACCTTAAGGCCCCAGGGGAGGGACGAGCTGCTGGTGAGAGCTGGAGCCACAGAAGAGGGAACTCCACAGGGGCTGTGGCCACTGCAAGACTCACTGGAGCCAGGCAGGTAGGAATAGGGAGGAAAAAGGCCCCAACCTTTCTTCCTTCTTTCCAGTCTCTTCTTGGTACCTCCTACTGGAAGCCAAAGCCAAGGACAGATGATGTATAGGGTTTGCAGAGGCTGGCCTCTGGGGACACAGAGCAGATCAGAGAACAGCAGATGATGAATCTAGCAAGGGGCGGGAAAGGCAGGGAGGGGCAGACAGTGATTAACCACAGTTAAGCACAACCAATAATTCAATATGGTGGCGAGGCTTTGGTGTGAATATGCAATCTTCCATGCCTGTCATTGGACTTGGAATATTGCAGTTGCGTTCTTACATGTCCTCCACACTCAGTTCTTTCCGAAACATTTTAATTTTTCTGGAGAATGTAGTATACCTGTTCCTTGTTCTAGAATTCTGGCCATGACCTTGGGCCAAAAGCTTTAAAGCGTTGAAGGTAGACCCTAGGAAATAGGTGTTAAACTGAGGGAAAAGGTACACCCATATCTAAACAGCCAAGGAGAGTGTCCTGAAAGCAAGGCGAGGTCACACCCTGCCTCCCTGGAACTCCTCTCACAACTCCAACCTCTCCTTTCTGGGAAGGGAGGCTCTGTGCTGGGCTTACTTCCCACTTGCTCAGTAACATAAAGGCTTCTTACCCTTGGGCTCTGCAGTTGGACAACTAATGTCTGGCTCTCAGCTGTCCACACTCAGGGGCTCTGCATTTTGGCGAGTCACTCAGCCACATCTGAAAATGGGGATAATAGTTGTCCTAACCTCACAGACATGTTGTGAAAATTCAATGAGACCATGCACATAAAGCACTCAGCATAATGCCTGGCACATAGCAGGTGCTCAATAAACATTGGTTCTCATTACACCCCATAGATTGTTAGTTCCTTGAGGTCAGAGATCATGACTTTTCAACTCTGGACCTCAGTATGAAGGACAGTGCTTGACACATGCCTAGTAATAATTGTACAAAATAGGACAACCATTCCTATTTCCCCAGTGAGGACCTTGAGGCTCATGGATTTGCATTGCTCAAGGCCACAGAGTTATGAGAACCAGAGCTAGGATTTAAACCCACATGGATCTGGCTCCAAAGCTGCATCTTCTACACGGGTGGTTCTCAAATTTTAGCAAGCATCAGAATCACCTGGGGAACTTTTTAAAACGTCGCCCATGTTTCTGATTCAGCAGATCTGAGGGCCCAAGAGTCTGTATTTCTAACAGGCTTCCAGGTGACATGGATGGAGCTGGTCTGGGGACCACACTTTGAGAACTCCTGGGCTATACTCTCAGCCTCCTGGTCAGTATCCATCTCCTCTGTGAACCCACCTCGGACTTCATCAGTCTCCCACCAAACACTTGCACGATCGAGTTCCAACCCAAGCCCGTCATCCTATCTCATTTTCCAGGTGGGGTCCTAAAGGTTGACTGAGCTTTCCCACAGCGCTGGCAGCTCCTAGTGGTCA